AAAATAGGCAAGATTTAAGGCAACTGAATTTCATAAATGAAGTGGCTGTATCTAATGACTGAAATATAATGAATATTATCCCAATAATAAATAATTGAGGAATGAATCAAGGCATCATAGACAGTTTGTTTAATGCAGTTTAATGGGAATACACTTAGTTTAGAGTATTTGCACAATTATATCAATTTTCATCTAAAAATCACTGGAATAGTTGATGAAAGTGATACATCACGTCGAACAAATTGATTAGAAATAAATCAGTTAGCAGATGAATGGTATGATTTATTGAAATTTCAAATAAAAACTTCATGAAGTTACCCGCATGTTTTTTTTGAAGTTTCACTCTAATGAACCAATAATGGTTTAATTAGCTTGGAAGCTGCCCGGTGTGGAGGTCGCTATATAAATGCAAGTTGTTGCTGTTGTTGATTGAAAGCTGTTTTGGCAGCTGTTAGCAGAAAGTGAATGAGAAATCTGTGTTTGAGAGGTGGTGACTAGTGGAGTAGTACAGTATTCAACAGGAGTCTACCCAGAGCCCCCTGCTGTTAAGACTAGCAAAAACAATTTGGAGAATAATTCTATTAATATTATGAAATTCACAGATAATGTCAAAGTATGTGACTGATTGCTGTACGTGGATCAGTTGGTAGCACTCTGAGTCAGAAGGTTGTGGGTTCAAGCCCCATGTCAGGAATTGGAACTCATATAGTCCAGGCTGCCATTCAATGCAATTAGAGGGTGTTGCAATATTGGAGATGCTGTCCTTTGAGTGAAACTTTAAACTGAGGTACTGAATGCCTGTTCAGTTGGACATTAAAAATCCCATGACAGTATTCGAAAAGAGAAGGGAGTTTCTCTCAATGGCTTGGCCTAACTAAAATTGGTCATTCATTTCATGCCTGTTTGTGGGACATTATTGTGTGCAAACTAGCTGCTGTATTCACCCACAAAGCAACAGTCACTGCATGTAACGTATATATTCTGAAGTGTTTTGAGACGTCCTCTCAACATGAAATGCACTGCACCAAATATAAGGATTATCATTATTATTTCTGTAAGAGTCAACGTTGTAAAGGATCTGGACAGATTAAGCAGATGGGTTCAAAAGCCATACAGTAGTTGGATTTTAATGTGGATAAAAGTGAGGCATTGCACACTGATGCAGGAAACTTGAAACATACACATAATGAATGAATATCCATTAGCAGAGATGGAAAAGGAAAATGATTTGGATGTGAATATTGATCATTCATTCAAAGTATCCAGTCAATGTGAAATTGATAGCAGCAAGGCTAAACATATCTAGGGAAGCAGCTTGAAGATTTTGACTATAGGCCAAAATAATTTTGCACATCTTATTGGCAGTTCATATTTTAAAATATTGCATTGATATTTGATCATCATATATTTAAATTGACACTAATATGTTGATAATTGTAGGAATTAGAAATCTAAATTATGAAGAACATCTCACAGAATTGAACTGATTTATATTGGAAGCAATGACCTGAGTTTTCACCATGCTGAGAGGAATGAATAATTCATATGTAAGCAGATATTTAACTTAGATTGTCTGTGAGACCTTACTAGTGGTGTGTGTAATAGACTCCCAGAAAACTTTAACAGTAAGATGATTAACTCCATTCAAAATAACTGAAAATAGCTTTCCCAGTGCCTCATTAAGTTAATGCATTGTGATGTTGTACTGAGCTATTTAGAATGGGGATATCCAGAGATGGATCATGGTTGGATTAACTCATTTTAGGCTGGGTGGTGTGTAAGCATTACAATAGGTTGACCTGGCTAGGGAGAGGCAGATTGACCAGAGGACCCAGTCCCGATTTCAGAGAATTAACATTTTTTTGAAAAAAAACTCCCATAAAGAAATAAAGACAACCTTTTAAACTTAAAATTGTTGATTTTTTTAATATAGGTAATAAAAATAGCATCAAAAATAACAGTCAATGGGGTGCAATAATGAGATATTTCTCAATAGGATTCCTTAATAACAGCTGTAAGTCATATTAAGAAATTGTGCTGGTAAGTCGAAATGTGTCACAGCAAAATAGAATACAGTCAATTCACTTTACAATATATCGTGTGAAGCGCTTTGAGACGTCTCAACAACACGATAAGGCACTAAATTACAAATGTTGTTTTGTTTATCAAATTAAGGATTATTATTAATATTAAAATCTAGGAACTCAGAATGGATTCCTATGAGCCAGCCTGATGTATGTTTTGTTATTATCTGGATTCCCTATTGACAATTCAGTCATTAGGGTATAACGTTAAGAAATACGATAAAATGATAGTAATAATAATAAATAATAATCCTTGCAGTTGATATAGCGCTTTTCACGTCAGGAGGACGTCCCAAAGCGCTTCACAGAACACACTGTAAAGTGAATTGACTGTATATTTGTGGACGAACGCAAATAATCCTTATATTTGGGTTAGCCCCTTTCACATCGGGAGAACGTCTCATCACGCTTCTTACTGTAAAGTGGGTGACAGTTTTACTTTTAGTTGTGTGTTTAACTTGATTAACTTTCTATTGGTGATGTGACCACCACATTAACAGGTAGAGTAGTGGTACCTGGATAGCAAGCTAACCAGTGCCTCACACTGGTAAACTACACAGCTTTTAGCTGGTTCAAATCCAACAGTATCTCAAGGTACAACTCTGATCCCTAATGCTTTGATTTCTTACCAGGCATCTATAATAATAATAATAATAATAATCCTTGCATTTGATATAGCGCTTTTCACGTCGGGAGGACGTCCCAAAGCGCTTCTCAGAACACACTGTAAAGTGAATTGACTGTATATTTGTGGGCGAAGTCTGTATATCTGTGTTCATCTAAGGCAGCAGAGCCAAGCCAGGTAGCTCTGCTGTACCCCCACCCACCCACCCACCCACTCAGGGAAAGATTGCACACACCAGACCTGTCGAAGGGAGACAGCTTTTTGTGTGAGTTCTTGGCAGTTGGGCGAGGTGGTTTCGCACGGATTCAGTGCAAACTCTCACCCATTCAAAGAAGGCACTTATAACGATTTTAACCTAAAAAATGCCAAAACTGGACAGTTTGCGCAAAGCGTGCGACCAGATAAGCTGAAAATGCACAGGTGTTCCAGCCTTCCCATCGAGTGAAATCTCCCAACAGGTCGAACCTGGTGATTATTTTTGAACAGGTACACACTCCGGTAAAATTGTGGTTCGTTCGCTTACAACGCGGAACCTCCTCCGAAGAGGCTCGTCCTGGTAACAATGCGGCTCCAGACTCGGTCCTCAGAAGGTTGCGGGGGATCTCAGCGAAACACTCCGAAATAAAACGCTGTTCGCAAATGAAACGGTTAGAGAGAGAGAAAAAAAAAGGTGGTGCGTACCCCCCCCGGGAGGTTGGGGGGTGGGGGGGGGTGGGGGGGTGGGGGGGGGGTTGTTGCAGACCAAACCCCGAGCAGCAGCGGCAGCGGAGCGCTGTGAGTGTGAGTGTGAGTGAGTGGTGCTGATCCCGGGGGAGAGGGGATGGAGGGAGAGGCGCAGGTGCTGATCCCGGGGGAGAGGGGATGGAGGGAGAGGGGAGGGGATGGAGGAGGGAGGGAGGGAGGGGGGTGGGGGAGATGCTGGGACTGACAGCTCAGGTCCACGCAAAGTGGTCAAAACTTATGCTCACAGCAGATGTGACCGACCTCCCTCTCCAGGTACACCAGTCGCCTGGAAAGCACTGCTGATCTGTGTCGGAGACACTATCTCTATATATATATATAGAGAGAGAGAGAGAGAGTGAGAGGCAACACAGCGGCCACTCGTGTTGGATGTGATCGTTTGTGGTCCTTTCGCTGCCGCTCTCCTCCTCCTCCGGAGTGTACCTGAGACCCGGTGTGTGTTCTCTGGCGGCTCTCCCCCCCCCCCACACCCCACACCCCCCACCCACCACCACCACCACCGCTCGGGCTTTACCTTCTTACACCCCCCGCAGGTTGAGTCCATTGCGGCTGAGGCTCTGAGTGTTTGATTTGCTCTCCCGTCTGCGAGTGAGTAACCTGTTAACTGCCGACACCACCGACCCGAGTTACAACAGCGTGTGCGGGTAGTACAGCACTGAACCCACAGCGGGGGGTGGGGTGGGGTGGGGTGGGGGTGGGGGTGGTGGTGGGGGAGAGAGAGAGAGAGAGAGAGACCGCTGCAGCCCTGCACAGCCTCTGCAGACGCTCTCCACTCTGACATGACTTGAGGAGGAGGGCTGCCTGACTGCCTGGAGATGAAGGAGGACGATGTGTCTCCGCTTGGCTCAGTCTCCGGGGGATCTGCTTTCTCGACCCTCTCTCCGCCTGTCTGACTGAGGGATCTGTGCGGGTTTGGCTCTGGGGGGACAGTTGGTTGTTGGTTGGTTGGTTGGTGGGGTTTTCCCTGTGATCCTCTCCCTCTTCCCTCCCCCGTTACCGTATGGGTTGGATGTGATGTGATGTGATGTGATGGGCGCTGAGGATGAAAGGAGAGGTTAAGTGCTGAGAAGCTTTGGCTGTTGACACCAGACCAACACAACACAGCACAGCACTGATCGGCGCTGCTCACCTTCAGGCTCCACCACCAGCCCGGGGCTCCCTCCTGTATATGAACCGCCTCCGAAACCCTTTAAAGACGAGACAAGGGGTGGATCTATATTTCTGCTCCAAAGGTATCGTTTGCGGCGCACATGCAACACAAATCTATACACACAGTGCATTTGCAAAGAGAGAAGACGCCAATCGCCATTTGAGAGGGATTTGCTACTTGGGACCTCAACGGACTGAGCTGGTTTGAGCTCTGCTCCTGGACCAGATTGGAGTTCCTGAAGACGTTTCATCCAAAGGAGAGAGAGAGAGTGAGAGAGAGAGAGAGAGAGATCGGGGTAGACAGTGGGCGAGAGAGAAAGAGAGAGAGACTGTGCCAATGCCAGGGCTCTGATCCCTGCCGCCCATCAATCGCTGGTGCTGCGGGTTTATTTATATGCAACATGAGGATGGATCCAGACACCAGGACCTACAGTTCGGGGCTATTTGCTGCGGTCTCCTGGCGCTCCGTGGCCCGCTTTGGCACGCTGCTGTTGCTGTGGGGCTGGGCAGGGGGTCCCGGCTCGGCTCTGACACTCAAGACCAGCGCCTCGAAGCTGGAAGCCGATTCCAAGCTGCCCATCATGGGGCTGATGCCCATCAACAAGACGCTGGCGGTGGAGAGCATAGCAGAGGGCATCCTACCCGCAGTCCAACTGGCCACAGAACATGTCCGCGACAAATTCCTACCCAACACCAGCAAACTGGTCCTGGAGTGGTACGAGACTGAGGTACATTTCACCCCCCCCCCCCTTTTATAGTATTGGTTTGGGGTAGAAATTGGTTGCAAATGGCATCTGTACCCTGCGATGTTGGTGAAACCACGTTGCATTGTGTGTGTGTGTGTGTGTGTGTCTACACTGTGGGTTACAGGGCTCCAGGTCTGTGTGTGTGTGTGTGTGTCTGTGTCTGTGATGTTTTGTACAGTAACGCAGATTGTGAATGAGTTAACCCTTCACCAGCCGGGGATTCGTGTTTGCAAACCGTGCAGTCATTTCGATTCCAAAACACAGGCTTGTGGAAATGCTGATTATTTATAATAATAATAATAATAATAATAATAAATGACAACCAATGTCTGGGATAGTAAACAGCGATGTGCGTGTGCAACGATTCACTGTATTTTCTGTGTAATGTAAGAGCAAACCCTAAAGTCATGTTATTTGCCAGTTTGCCACCCCGCTCGGCAACTGGTGGGTGAGACGCTATAAGTGCACGTTGTGGTCAGCAACTGGAGCAGAGCAAAAGCCAACAGAGAGACCTGAGCACAAACCCTCAGGTGTCTGCAAAAAAAAACAAACCCCAGCGAGCCACAAAGAGTTAAACCTGCAGACTCTCTCTCTCTCTCTCTCCCTCTCCAGGAGACGCGGGGTAAGAGAAGCACATTAACACGTTTCACGTGGGGGGGGGGGGGAAATATCCACCATCCGATCTTGCACAAGGGAGGGGATAAAATAATAAAGTGATCAGAAGGATGGGTTCGCTTCTCTTGCACCAGTTGCTTCCCCTTTAATTTCAACTGCCTTATCCTTCGCTTGTCTGGTTTCAATTGAAATTAAAAAAAAAACAAGGCTCTGTTTTTGGGGCCACGATGGATCTCGACATACTGTGTGTGTGTGTGTGTGTGTGTGTGTGTGGGGTGGTGGGGGGGGTAGGGATGTGTGAGCATTGCCTGCAGATGGCAGCAGGTTCCCAGGCAGCACTGTATGTGCATCAACCTGACTGAGACAGCAAAGCTTTGGCAGTGAAACAACACACCACACACGGTCGGTCGGTCCTGCCTTCGTTTTTTTGTTTGCAGCACAAATCCTGATGGCCTGTGTTTTGTTGTTGTTCTTGTTGTGGTTTTGTCTTTCATCAAAAGCGGCCGAGGACATGAGCTCGGCTCGATCTGCGGCTCCTCCTTCACGTCTCAATCGCATTGCATTGCATCGCATTGCATCGCATTTCCACATTTGCAAAGCAGGTGGTCGGTGCCACCCCCTCACCTCTGGGTTTATCATCGCCTCTCGGTCACTTTTTTGGGGCTTTGATCTGTGGGGCGAGGAGGTGCAGCAGTCAGTGTAAGATGTCAAAAGAGATTGAATGAAGCAGGCGATTTCACATCGGATTTGGGGGGTTAAATCGGTGATTAGAAACGATCCTAATCGCAGATCGTGACTGTGGCAATGTTTTTTTTTTGGGGGGGGGGGGGTGAGGGTGTGAGGGGGTAGGGTGGAAGAGGAGAATGTTTCAGGTTACTGACAGGTGGAGCAGATTTCCTGCATCCTCGGGCTTATCCGTTGAGACTTTCACGTTTGCTTCGTCAACAACGTTTTCGAACTGCAAACGAACCGGGTTTGAGTTGAGCAGCGACATCCCCGACATTGCCACAGCCTCGCTGGCGGTGTGTTTATTACCCGGGAAGGGTGGGAGCGACCAGGGACTTCAAACTGCACACGTCTCCGTTAAAATAACACGGCACTTCAGGTCGCGCAAACGAAATCGCTTCCAAAAACCAGTGGTCTCCGGCACCGACTGCCAATAATTCGGAATAATGCGACCGAAAGAAATGCAGAAACGTCAGGGGAAGGAAAACCCAAATCAGTGTGTGGAGTCTGGAGATGCTTCCAGCAGGGAATTGCACAGGTTTGCCCGAAAGAGGCTCCAGCTGGAGAATGGTAGATGAGCAGATATTTTGCAAAATAGACAGTGGATAGAAGAGGGGGAGGCAAGGAATGAGAAGGGGAGGTTGTCTATTACAGGAGGCCATTACCACTGCACAGATCTGCCTAAGATTTTCACTTATGTGCTGCTTGATACTGAAAATGAATCTTGCACAGTTAATTTATTCACTTGTGACACTTGAATAACACTTCAGGTATGGTGTTCTGTATTCATTGGCATATTAGTGTTGTTGGTTCGATACAGCAGTGTTAGATGCTGCTTTTATCTCTTTAATGTAACATGGTAACATACATATGGTTTTAAATATGCAGCAATTTTATTTAGTTGAGTGTAGCTCTGCCACAGCTACAGCATATACTGGTTTGATGTGGAGGCTGCGCAGAGCTGGAATTGAACCAGAACATGTTACACCTTTTGTATGGGGTGACTGTTTGCCAATAGCAAAAAGGAAACAGTAATACCTCAATAGTAATGGCATTTAAACCACTGCAACTGACAGGAGTTGCATCCTGTCTCGGTTAATAATAAGTTATTGTTAGTTTAAGGAAAATGCTATGTTCTAACTACCTCAAATTTTATACATTCTAACACAATTTAAAAAGTACAATTGCATCAGAACTTTATAATTTAATCAGCATAATAAAGGATTTATAGGTTTAGTGTTAAACAAAAGGAAGGTGTTTTAGATGGCTATTTGTGGGGCTTTGTTGTGTGCACGTTGGCTGCCACATTTGCCCACAAGGTACACAGTCACTCCACTTAATGAAACATAATTCATTTATACATTCTCCAATCCTAGAACCTCATTTGCCTGTGTAAATGGTATGTAATTAGCATCCTTCAGTACTGCAGGGCTTAATTTATGACCGTTTGCAGTGGAATTTCTCCATAAGGAAACCAGAAGTATGCGACAATGTGAATTATCTACTTTCAGAGGGGAGTTCCTGCAAGTCAGTGTAACGTGCGTTATAGGAATGAGACCCCATTTACCTTCCTTATTAAGGAATTCTGTTATAAATGGTCATATATTAGACTCCAATTTTGTAGAATGACCCACAGAACCATAGGACTTTACATCCCAAAATAAGGCTTTTTGCCCCTTCTGTGTCTGTGAAAGAGCAATCAATTCATTCTCATTTATGGTAATCTTCACGCTTCACAGGTAAATCACTTATGGAGTCGATTTATATGGGAACATTTGATTTCATAGCTTAATCACTGTTTCCCCGGTGGCAGAATAAATAATTGTTGTTTTGTAAAAATAGGACTTACATATTTTACCTAACAAAAACGTGGACCATTTGGTAGAGGCCAGGGAGGAATAGGACGTTGCAGCCTGTACTCTCACATTTGAAACCAGTTTGAATCTCGCCCAGCCTAATGAGGAAGATAAACAAAAGGCAAAGTACTGCAGATGCTGGAAATCTGGTATAAACACAGAAGTCATTGGGAACATGCAGCATGTCAGGCAGCATCCATGGAGAGAGGAAAATGCATTAATATTTCAGGTCTATAACCTTATCGTTAGGTGTTTATACCTAATAAGGAAGATGTTTCCTCTCTCTCTGGACTAACTATAAAGGCTTTAAGTTCAACAAGTTTAGGTGGTCTCAGTCCATTATGCACAAACATTCATGAATTTCTCCTGGATGGCTCATCAGTCGGACTTAGAGGGGCAGACCAGTCACTGGGACAGGGATTCCCTCCACTCAGCTCCTGTTAACCCTGCAAACCAAAGCCCTAATGGATAGGCTGGACCTGTTGGATAAGGATTGGGAAGCTTACCAGACAGTGCCCTCAATAACAATTAGGTAAGCAGAATGCATTCATCAACAAAATACATAGTTGTAACACTTTACAGTATATCTTGTGAAGCTTTTTGAGATGTTCTCCTGACCTGAAAGGCAGTATATTAAATATTAGGATTATTTGTTTTGATATAGTGCCTTTCACGATAGAAAATTGTCTCAAAGCGCTTTGCAGGATTTTACTGTAAAATGCAGTACCTGTGTATTTGTAGGTGAACATTAGTCATTTTGTGTAAGTATGGCTCCCAAATAGCCATGAAGTGATTGATTGATTTTATCTGGGGATTGTTGGCTAGAACACTGGGATAAATTCTCTTCCTTTTTCAAATAGTGCCATGGGATCTTTAATGTGAGCAGGCAGACCTTAGTTCAATGTCTCATTCGAAGAACTTGCGCAGAAGAAAAAAGTGCCCCAGGCTCTGCAAGCCCATCACCCACATCCTCACTGACTACAATGGCTCCCCATTCCCCAGTGCATCAAGTTCAAGATCCTTATCTGAACCTTTAAATACCTCTGTCGTCTTGCCCACTCTACTTACGTGGCCTTTTAAAACCCTACCAACCTGCCTGTCCTCTCCGCTCGGCAGGCACTGGCCTGCTTCACATCCCGCGCCACACCTGCCCCACTGTCGGTGGTTGGGCTTCCAGTCTATCTGCCCCCGCTCTCTGGAACTCCATCCTGGAGTGCATTCGACTCGCCGTTTCCCTCGCCTCTCTCAAGACCTTCCCCTTTGACCATGGTTTTGGCCATCTTTCTTCCACAGTCCCCCACCTTTGCTCCCCACATTCTCAGCCACTACATCCAGTTTGGATACAATCCGTAATGAAAGATTGAATAAATGGGATATTAAAAAAACACCAATGATAATAATCACTTTTGCATTTGATAGAGTAATATATAATAGCATAATTAATATTATGTTGGAAAGTCTTGAAGCACTTCACAGATGATCACAAGTTGCACTTTTAGAACACCTCTCACCAACCATAACCTCTCAAAGTGCTTCACATTGGATCATAAAGCAAATAGGAAAAGCATCTCTGGTTCCTGCAGAACACCAGTCAGGTGTTAGTTTTTAATGTTATTACAGAACTTTATTGGACTGTTTGAGAGTTGGGTTGAAAGCTTTCAATTGACCACAAAGAAGTGAACTCAGTTTAATCTGCATCACAAGCGAGAGACCTGGGTTTGATTCCTGGCAGGCAAAACGTTAGGCAAGTTTCCTTACTCTACACCCTCTGTTTACCCAGCAGGA